CAACTCGACATTGAGCGAATGGTTCAACATTGTGCAAAGAAAATCGTCAATGGTCGAAACTATTCGTCATTGAGCAGCCGGGAATTCATGATTGGCCAAAACCGTCTATGGAAATTTCAGCATTCAGAAAAACAGATCAGCAATGATCGAAACAATTAATCGCGTGCACTGGCGGCCGCAGGGGGCATGGAGCAGCTCATGGGGCCCAATCCTTGCCATTTCCCTCATATAACCGAGTGAATGATGGAACAAGCACACGGCGGCCGGTGAGTGTTCACTGGACGAGACCGGCCTCAGCCTGCACATTCGGCGTATGTAGGTTCGGCTGAGGCCGGGAAGTCACCATGTTTCTTTGGGCGTAAGGCCCACACCAATGATGTAAACAACACCTTGCGCTCATTCTAAGTCAGGTGAACGGTATTGCCCTGGGGCTCGAAATGAGATAGGCCTCATAAATTGGCTAAATCTTGCCCTCATGAGAGAGTTCCGGGATGCCAAGGCGACCGTCATGACAGATGTGCATAGTGTCCGTCAGGTTCCGCCATGAGGACAGTTGTTATTCCGGATGCGCCGATAGAGAGCTCGTCTTTGAATAGGCGAATTAATTGAAGTTTTTGTAAAGTGCCCATTGACCAACGTAGGAATGCTAGGTTGTAATGGTATGGTGCATTGATGGAAATGACTTCAATGAATGCATTGGACATATTGAATTCAGCTGTGTGTTGTACGTAACACATTGCAAGCAAAAAAAAAAAAAAAAAAACGCGAAGGGAACACATTGTTTTTCTTGTTGATAAAAATGACGTCGTAGGTAATTTTAAACCAAAGTCCAACGTCGGTTGCATTGATTGGTATCGCTCGCCGGTTAGATAAACGTATTGCATTTAATGTTGCTGAGCGTTTAACCCTCGCCCGCACATGCCATTTTCCCATCCTAGAACGCACATGGGGGGGGGGGGGGGGGTGGGTGGTTGCCAACCCCCCCCCCCCGCGCCATTTCGTTCCTGTTGGAGATAGAGCTTAGCAGTAAAGACCAAAAAGATTCTTTGGGAAGAGACGAATCCAAAGATACCCAGTTTTACCTTCTCAGGTCAGTCATTGACCTTCCAGGTCAGGTCAAACTAAAAAATGTTGCTGTTTTGGGTCACCGTTGGATATCAAGTGCGCTGCTTAGCATATACCGATGACGATGCTGTTTTCTGGTGCCAAGCCAGCTAGAACCTCTTTGTCACACTACCCGACCAGATTTTTGCTGCTGAGGTCATTTCAGGTCAAGTTAGGTCAAGGTCCATTATATGTGTTTGTATGTCTGTGTGTGTTTGTGTGTATACTGATGTGTGCACCGATTGTTTTTGTGTCCATATTACATGAAATCATGATCTGAGAAGCTTTTACCAAAAATGCAGTCAAAAAAACTTCACAAAAAGTAAATTCAGCTTGCCTAAAACGCAATTATCTTAGATGACCTAGGTTGACCTTGACCCTGACCTTGACATCTGTACATCGTCGAACAACATGTTCCATGATAGGTGGGATGTAAGACTGGCAAAAAAGGCCTAAATCAAGGTGTCAAAAGCTCACAAGGCCCATGGCAAACGCAAGATGCTGAGAATTGGCCATTTGGGTCATTACATGACCTGAAAAACAAGGTCATATCTCCGAAACCAAAAATCACAGAAACTTGACATTTTCAGTGGACATCAAGAAAGGATAGAGGAGCAGCTATACGAAAAATCAGCCTCCTAGCTAAAAAAATGTTGAGTGCAGAGCCGAAAGACTACCTGGGGGGGGGGTGGCAACCACCCCCCCCCCCCATGTGCGGGCGAGGGTTAAGAAGGCCTTTAAATTAAATATTCATGATATACCTATTAAATATTTAATATGAATATGTAATTTTAAGGCCTTCCTAAACGCTCAGCAACACTTGTCAATCGATAGGTATATACTTAATCTGTCCCGCATTGCATATAAGCTTGACTGACCAATGACAATTAGGTACCGTACTGTTCCATTTATAAAGAAATTATAACGAACGGCTGACGTACCTATTGCTTAGAAATGCCCTAAATGCTCATGCTCAAGTGTTGAATGGGCGATGTGTGTCCATTTGAAGTCCATTTGAAAAAAAAACTAGCCCAGATATCCATTTATTCTGTTTTAAACATTGCTGAAGGGATATCACCAAATGCCGAGGTGCTTTGCCCATTGCCGAAGTCATGACGAAGTGTCAAACTGTTTTGCAGATCGCTCATTTCAGCGTTCAATCTGTTTTGTTGAATGGCTGAAATGAAACACACGACGCCGGAATAGTTGTGCTCAATGCCGATTGTCGAAATGGCTCCTCAAACAGTTATGGCCAATGGTTGAATTCAAATGCAAAAAGGTGTAGTAAAGTATGTAATCTTGTTATACAATGTCCAGAGAAAGAAGCCACGATGTCGAATACCCAACAATGCATCTCGAGGTATTCAAAGGAGAAAAATGCAAACGGTGGCCACCCTCAGTCCTCATCCTTCGGTCGCGTTGGCTGGGTCCTTTTTTACACCGCGTGACAGAGGCCGTTTTTAGGTTCGGGTCGTGACCCACCGACCCTGGGTCGGGGCACCTGCCGGAGCACCCCTGGCTCCGTGCCAGATGCCATCTGGCAGATGGGACAACCGGCGCTTAAGTGATGGTTCAGGCGCAGCTCAGGTGTGCGCGAAGAGTGACGAGCACAAATGACACTTACAGCCAGTGACAGCACTTACAGCCACTGACAGCACTTAGAGCCAGCTGCCGGTGCCATGACTGTGTCGCGCCCATGTCGTCTCAGCTGTGGGTCGAGATGATTACACACAGCATTTGTCGAGATGGCAGAGGACAGTGGGTATGAAGTATAAGCAGTGAGCAGTGTTCAACCTCGCTCGGCCAGGAAACTAATTTGCACACCTCCACATGGGTTATCCAAAATAGCTTAAAATTGGGTAATCCAAAATAGCTTAAAATTGTTGAAGATTTATGAGGCATCCTTTATACATGTACCTTTGAAATTCCACGCCCTGGTGACCGCAGCATTATAGTCAAACTCAAGGCCAGGTCGACAAAGGGTCGCATCAATCCTCCTCTAGCAGTTCCCGTTATAAGAAAAGGCTTGGCCGTGCAAGAGTTCATGCAATGGCGTAGTTTTGCTGTACTACACCACAAATGACGTAGACTATCTGTAAATTTAAATACGGGAGTGAGAGCAGGATTCGGAGAACCGTTTGCGATGACGCCGCAAGAAGGAGGAACTGCCGTGACGCCACACACTCCGAACTAGCAGCGGCGGACGACACCCTCTCCGCGGAAATGACGCAGGAAGCGCGTGGATCCCGGCGCTCGGCTGGGATCCCCTCGGCGGGACAATGCGGCAATGGTGTGGTCGGGTCGGTAGTGGGAGGGGTCTGCCGCCCCACCACCCGCCAAAGCAGGCCGATGTGAGCGGTGAAACTCATTTCCACAGCCTCTCGGTGATGGCAAATCAAAGTCAATAAATGCACGCGGGTTATGAGTAGAGATTGCAATCCCGGGATCGGGATCCCGGGATCCCGGCGGGATTTTAATCCCGATCCCGATCCCGAAATTCCGCCAATCCCGGGATCCCGAAAAAATCAGTTTTTCACCATAAAAAGAATGCAGCCGCTGCACGAGTCTTGTTTACACTGTTCATGGTGCTGCGTGACATAAAGCAGATAAACTATTTAGCTGGCACCCCGTATTGGCCGTCCACAATAGACCGTGTTGGTAGCTCCCGGGTATCACCCACAGCGGTTAAGCCGCTTAAATACGTACGAAAAAGGGTCCCGAACGCCAAAAAATTGCAGCATCAGCGCTGCAACATCTTTATCAGGACCACAGATCGTTCAGCGATTCTGACTTGCCCGTCCGTGGCCGGGAAAAAGAGGTCATCAAGACAGTCTTTGAGCTCGTGTCGCAGATGTCACGCAAGTGACGGCAGAGCTCACTGATTCAGACGTTGAAGACGGTAGAGTGGAGCTCTCAAAGTCAGTTACTCTGCTCTCAAAGCGACTTTCGAGCAAATTCTGAGAGACATTAGTGATGAAAGCGGAACCGCAGGAGGTGAAGTGACCAACCGACGTCTTGAAAACATTGTGAAATTCGAAATAGGGAGCTGCCAAATTTGGCGTACACTGGTTGCGAGTTTTTAAGTAGACAGACCTACCAGCAATGGCTTAAAACTGTCGCGCTAACTACGAGTAGCGTAGACAAAGAATGAGTGAGGCGTGGATATGCTGGAACCCGTCTAGTAAACGTACTGGTCGACGCACAGTTTTATAAAGGCCAATTGGGAATAAATGATAATGCTAATCAAATCGAAACATTTTCTTCGCAAATTCAATCGTTTTTAATGCAAATGACATAGTTGGCTTTTGATGCCTCTTTGTTCGTGGTAAGCTAAAAGACGTAAAATATGTCAGTAGGAAATCACTCTTACGACATTTAGTGACAAGACCGGGATCCCGGGATCCCGAAATAAAAACATTCGGGATCCCGGGATTGGCAAAACGTTCCGGGATTGCAATCTCTAGTTATGAGGCGCTGATTTTTATGCCCTCATACAAATACAATTGCTCCTTGTCATCGGAACATGTAGCCAAGCGTCGACACTGTATAGTCGAATACAGAATGATGTTCCTATCAGTTGACCGGAGCGCTTAGTTGTGCCGTTTATCACGCAATTAAGCGTGTCGATGGTGAGCATTGGGACAAAGCTATAATTTGTGAACTCAGCCCGTGTGATGCGGCACAGCCTACCACTCCAGGCAAATAATTGCCTATGAAAAGTGGAATATCATTCTGTAGTCGACTATACCTGTAAATATAATTCAATCCAGCACTCCGACTGCATCCCCTATATACCGGACCAGGCGATGGGTAATCACTAACCCTTCCCCCGAACTGCGCCGGGCTTGGCGGCTGTCTCGGGCTCCGGATCAATATTTTCCAATCTGGCTACTCACCGCGTCTCGAGCCGGATCTCGGCGCGACGGTCGATCCTCCGATCCTCGAAGACCTCAGAGACGTCGGGCTGCGTCCGCGCTGTCTGTGCGACTCCGGCGAAGACGTTCTCCCAGAGGTGGCAGAGCGCACGCAGGGCCTGTCCCACCGACAGTGACTCCCACATACGGGTCCTTGCGTCAGCGCGGCGGCCGCTCACACCCCCGCCGGGAGCCAATCAGCGCGCCGGCCGCCGCTGACGTCACGGCCGAGCCCCCGCGCTCACCTGACGCCAAGGCCGCGGCGCCGAGGTCGATCCGGCCCCCGCCCGGCCTCGCCGCGGACACCGAGCAGACCATCGGAGCGAACTGCGGACACACACGACACAGGATCCTAAGGAACAATTCTTTAACCCTCGACATCATGAACTCTGACGTTACGTCTAAAAAGCAAGTTCAATTGCAATTTTCCTTTGACTCATAACAATTAGCCAACGACGTCCTACTTGTGAACTGACCTATCACAAATATTTTCAGTTACCTACACGTCGACGTCCCTAAACTGCGCTCCACAGTTCAACCAGCCTGAAGCGGCGACGTAGCCGATGAAAATGACCTACAAGTCGGCTATATAGGTAGAGGTAAACATATTATACACTATACACTATATTATTTATAGGTAAACACTAAACAGCTCACCGCCCACATTATCATCCAAATGATAATTTCAGTTTTCAAGTCACGTAAATAACGGATAACCTGCATCAGTCCCCCGTGAAGCTGTACTCACCCCAGGACTGGGCAGGTGACGGCAGGGGCGGCGGCGTGGTCCGACCTCCTCATCTCACGGTCAGCGCAGCGGTTCAGCGCGCCCCAGGACTCGCCGTACCAGACATCCTTGAGCGGAGCCGCGCCCCTCGCCATGCGCGGTCCCGTTTACGGCCGTTGGAGCCGAGGTCAGCGGGTGCTGCGCTGGGGGCTGGACGAGGCCGGCACCCAGCCGACCCCAGGGGCAGTCAGGCACGGGGAGCGGCGTGCGCCTGGGATATGATGAACAGTGAATGCCCACATTTTATTGATATGTTTATGGCAATCATAACGAGCTCCGTGCAGGAGTCTGGAGGGACCAACTTTCACGGGGTGGACTCCGTGGGGTTCGTCCCCGCCCCCGCCGTGGAGAGCGGCGAGGAAGCCAATCGGGTCCCAGCCCGCCCTCTCGGGGCCGGGCACCGGCGGCCGACACTCCACGGCGCCATAGTCTCTACACCATCTGCACGACGACCTGCCCACCTGGTGCACGCTCAGCGGGCCGGTGCCGAGCGAGGACATGCCGCCTGGAGGCTGTCCGCAGCGGCGCCGGCCTGCGGTGAATGAGTGAGTCGGCGCCACCCACCGCTAGTGCCGGCGGCGGGGGTGCGGCAGCGCCCGCCGGAAGGAGCTCCCGGGGTCGAAGCAGGAGAGCCAAGAACCGTCGATACTACACCAACCTCAAGACTCGAAGCCGCCTGCAGATCGCCTGCTGGAACGCCGAGGGACTACGTCGCAAGCTGACGGAGCTCCAAGGCTGGGTATCGGAGTCGAATATTGACGGCATCGCGGTTCAAGAGGCCCAGTTCAGCGGTTCATCTCTCACCGAGATCCCCGGATTCCAGACGGCGGCCGTCCGCCGAAGGGCACGGGGGCGGAAAAACTCAGGCCAGGCCAGGGGGGGGGGGGGACGACGACGTAGCGATTTACGTCCGCACAGGTCTCAACTTTGACAGGCTAGACCGCCTCCTGGCCATGGCGGACACGACAACCGAGTGGTGCGGCATCCGCCTATACCTCAGCAACTGCGCCCTGAAAAGCAGCAGTCCTGCGCCAACCCTGAACATCCAAAATTATATCGGCCGCGTATCCGACCTGGCGAAGAAGACCAGAAGTCTGACTTCTTCGCAGGGGCGCGGGAACTACTTTCCGACTGGGGGGGCACACCATAATAGAGATCAACCTAGGGTACCCCCAAATCTAGTTTTCTCACCGGTTTTAGGCCACTTGTTTTCCATCCCTCGGCTTTTTCAACAAAAAAGAAAACATTTGCAAAAAAAGTGTGGTATTCCGTCTCAAAGCTGTGGGGGCACCGCCCCCACGGCCCCAGAGTTGGGGGGGGCAAGCTGCCCCCACTGCCCCCCCCCCGGCTCCCGCGCCTATGCTTCTTCGACTCGTCGGCCCTCCCCACCAACCGGGACTCCCTGCCCACCATCCGGCCTGGGATCGGCACTGCGTGGAGGAGGACGAGACGGGGCGACGTCTGGCGGATTGGATGGCACAAACCGGTGCCACCACCCTCAACGACGGCTCCCACACCAGGATCAGCTACTAGAGATGCCCCAAATTTGCAATTTCATTACCCGCCCCGCCCCGCAGCTACCCCTTGCCCAACCACAACTACCCGCAAGCTGATTTTGGCTGGGCTGAACCCGCAAAAAACCCGCAACTTTAAAAACCTGCTTTTGCAAGAAAAAAAATACAGCTGGGTCAATACTAGAGCTATATAAACCTTACTTGCTTCATTGCTGTTCAGAAAGACAGCCAAACAAATAGTAAGGACTTCAAATTGCTATGCTAAGTCCTCAGGAAGTGCACACTGGATAGTGGAAAATGAATAATGCATCAATACACTTGAAATTCCTTTCGGAAAGGAGTTCAATAAAATCTTTCTCTCACCTTACCCTTCAGCATTGGCTGAGGATCAAATTTTCACTCTGGCTCCCTTTCAATGTTAGGCTTCTGGAATGATATTGTTATCAAAATGAATGTTGATATAAAAAGATATGCGATTTCCAGTTAAAAATAAATCGCGACACGTTGAATAATGAGTATCCAGTCGATCTACACATAAAACAAATCATGCAAAATCCCAGCGAAAACCATCTAACCACCAATGAACCGGACACGCCAAGAGCTGGACTTTTTGATGACGTCTTCGGGTGACGTCATGTCGTGTGTGACGTTTCGTGAGCAGGTAAGGAAAAGTCACCACCGCTGGCGAACATTGGTGCGGTAAATGGCAAACACAAATGCTGCGCAGAAAAGACAAATGTGTAACTTCAGACAACATTCGTTCGGACGACAATGTTGATGTCAAGGCGAATCAAGAAGTTCTTCATGCGATTGTTAGTTATCTGTCGTGCTATTTTAGTATGATTGTTATTAGCAGTTGATTTGTGAAATGTATTATCAAAATCAATGTTTATTGAACGCAGATTCAGTTTATTTTCAGATGTACCTAGGTACCCTTACACTTCACTCATCTCAAGCTGTTCAAACACCCTTGACAAAGTCGATTAAGATGAAACGTTGGGTATAATTTATACTGTGTTTTCTCTGCATTATTAACATATTCATCATATATACAATATGAGGGCCACATGTTTTTTACAGGGAGACATGTCAGACAGCCCAGTAGGATGAGGCTTCGTCAAGCGTCATTTTTAGCAAAGCTTTTCTTGCTTAAAATCCCGTCTGCAAAACATGGCAGGGAGCTCGACAAGATTTTCGGGGCAGACAAAATACTGCCCCGAATCAGAATGCTGAGTCCAGGGGCAGCCCAATTCCTGCCCCTAATGATGCAAATAATAACCCGGTTTACATAGGGTTTGTTGCAAGCTTATATCTCCGTCCGTGATGTTGCAAAAGATGCCAATGGTGCTTCACAATTTACAAAATGATCCCCTCTAAATATTTGAAGACCACTGCATCAAAATTATCGCCAAATTAACAAGCTAGAGCCTCGTCAAAAATGCTATGTAAACCGGCTCAATGTAACGATATAATGATGTAGGAAGCAGTGAGAAGCTGAGAAAATCACTTCTGTGTCAATTTTTTAACTTCTGCACCAGATTTTCCTGTTTCTGCCCCAATCTTCCTGAAACCTGCCCCTATTTCTGCCCCAACCTGTGGTGTCAGCCCCGACGAGATCTCGTCGAAGCCTGCCACGTTTTGCAGACTGGCTTAAAATGACAACACTCACTGGGAAAATGGTGATATGATATTATTTTAATGGCCATTGAAAATTCTGTGTCAGATTTGATATTCCGAACAGCTGTTTGGCAAGATATTTTCAGTACCTAAGTAATCCACTTTGCTAGAGTAATCCACTTATCCACTCTACAACACGCATCATGGTCATTAATAAGACAATTTGACGTTTAACAAGAGAATTTGAGAGACGAAATAACGATGTTAACTTCTTGCGTTTTGAGCAATAATGGAATAGTTTTGATACAGTCTTGCTTACACTTGACTCCCAGCTGTTGTGTCTTTGCTATGCGATGTTAAACATATAAAACATCTTACTATTCATGTATGCGCCATGACTCATGTAATCTTTTCACAGCCAAGACGCTCCTAAGGTACTGGGAATGTGGGGAGTGCAGCAGCATCAGTGCAGCACCGATGGTCGGATACGACGGCTGCGATAAATGGTACCACTTCTGTTGTGTATTGGGATGATCTCATCCTTGTCGCCATTTTATTGTGTATCGAGTGGTCTGTACTTTTCTGATTCTGCTACTTCCGATTGTACTTCATTCCTTTGGCTGACTCCAAAGACTCCTTTTTACTCAGAACGTTTCTTCCATACTACACACGGCCAAGAACAACAACTTCCAAGGTTCTCGATATGAGGCACACTTTCTAAATCCAGGCAGAGTAAATGACGTCACAAGAGACATCATCCTAATAGAAGATGAAAGGAAATGCTTCAGATGTGGCAAAGGTAACCATCTGATTAAAGACTGCAGAGTGCCGAAACATGTCAGATGTAACAACTGTTCAAAGCCGGGTCATCTCCAAGCTGCGTGCAGGAACCCGAGTGCTGAAGAGAGAGTGAGGGTGAACTGTAATGAAGGTGACAAAGTAGAAGATGACGAGGAAGACAACTATTGTGTGTATCAAGCAAGCAGGGAGAAGTCAAAGGCGATCAAGTTGAGCATGTCTGTAAATGGCAAGGATGTGGAATTCCTGGTTGACACAGGATGCCCAGTGACGTTGATGCCAGACAGTGTGCTTCCTGGACTGAGTCTGCGGAAAGCTGGATGTCGTCTGACCTCATATACAGGGCACAAGATCCCTGTGCTGGGTGTCACAGATGCAGAAGTAGTGTACCAAGGAAACCAGAGGGAACTGGAAGTGCATGTGGTGGAAGGAGATGGACCTCCACTACTGGGACGTAACTGGCTGAAAGAAATCAGACTGGACTGGGAACAGCTGGTGGGAAGTATGCAATCTCATAAGACAATGCGTTGGAAGCTGGAAGATGTTCTGCAGAGGAACGAAGAGCTGTTTGATGGTACGCTGGGTCAGATGAAGAACACCGAAGCTCATCTAGAGCTGAAAGAAGATGCCAAACCAGTGTTCCAGCCACCACGACCTGTGCCATATGGTCTCGCGGACAAAGTGAAGCAAGAGTTGTCAAGATGGGTGGAACTTGGAGTGACAAAAGAACTGACGTCAGAGGATGCAACGCCGAAGTGGGCCACGCCTCTCGTAGTCGTGCCAAAGCCGGACGGATCAGTAAGGTTCTGTGGAGATTTCAAGGTAACGCTGAACCCAAACCTGGAAGTGCCGAAGCACCCGCTGCCGAAGATGGAGGACATTTTTGCAACAGTGGGACAGGTTCGATACATCTCAGTGATTGACCTCTCCCAAGCGTATCTGCAGATGCCCCTCAGCACAGAAAGCCAGGAGTACTGTGTTCTCAACACACCATGGGGGATGCACCGTATGCTGCGACTACCATACGGGGTGAAGTCAAGTCCAATGCTCTTCCAGAGGGAAATGGACAGAATCCTCAAGAATGTGCCTGGAGTGAAGTGTCTGTTGGATGATATGCTCATCACAGGAAGAACTGAAGAGGAAGCACTGAAGCGACTGGACGAAGTGATGCAGATCATGAAGTCACACGGTCTGCGTCTGAAAAAGGAGAAATGTCAGTTTCTGACAAAGGAAGTCCGGTACCTAGGGCTCAGGCTAGGAGCCGAGGGCATCAGAACAGATCCAGAACGTGTGAAAGCCGTGCTGAACGCAAGAGCACCCACAACCAGAAAGAAGTTCGCGAGTTTCTCGGTGCTGTCACGTTCTACAACCGCTTCCTGAAGAACCTCTCGAAGACAGCAAGGCCGTTGAATGAACTCCTGAAGAAAGACAGCGAATGGAAGTGGACTGCAGAGTGTGAAGCCAGCTTCAACAGCATCAAGAGACAGCTGTCATCAACGGAAGTGCTGCGTCATTTCGACGTGACGGAGCAGGTGACGGTGATCACGGACGCTAGTCCAGAAGGACTAGGCGCCGTACTCGTTCAAGGGAAGGATGAGCGGCCGATCATGTACGCGTCAAGATCGCTGAGTGAACACGAGCGGAAATACTCTCAGATAGAAAGGGAAGGACTCTGTGTAGTCTGGGCATTTCAGCGACTGAAGCAGTTCCTGTACGGGCGCCATTTCAAGCTCGTAACAGACAACAAGCCGCTAGCTCACGTCTTTGGACCTAAGGCGTCGCTGCCGACGTTGGCTGCCTCACGGATCCAGAGATGGGCGATGAAGTTGGCGGAGTACGATTTCTCTGTGGAAGTCAGGAAGTCGGAACAGATTCCAGTAGCTGATTGGCTCTCACGTCTACCGAGAGAAGGCTCAGTGCTGAAGTCAGAAGCACCAGAAGACGAGTGCACTGTCTGTCTGATCGGACAACTAGAGTCGCTGAGTCCGGTGACGGCCGCAGCGATTCAACGAGACGGCCAGAAGCCCAATCCTGGCGAAGGTGATGCACTTCGTGCACAACGGCTGGTCAGAAGCCGTAAATGAAGAGCTACAACCATTCAAGATGAGGCAAACCGAACTGACCGTGGAGCGCGGATGTCTGATGTGGGGATGTCGCGTCGTGGTTCCGCCGAACCTGAGATCCAGAGTGCTGAGCGAGCTGCATGCCGGACATCAAGGAATGGTGAAGAT